GCCTAGGCAATTTGTATTCGCAACAATATGTTCTTCATATACACAAGCCTACCAAAGCCGGCGTTCAGTGCATTGGCATATATGAGAATCCACTTTGGTTCATATGTATACCTATTGCTGGCAACACGTTTACAGCTTATGGCAACATGTTCTTGGTTGCGAGGCACATATTACGGACAGTGATCTATGGCATATTTTCATAAATTAAGTGATGCTCTGCGTTGGGTGTAAGCGTGCAAAATATATTTTTAATTATAATTCAAAAAAAAAACGAAATTAATAGAAAAGTAATAAAAAAGAAATACAAATAGTAATATAAAGAAAATATAAAAATTTATTTAAAAATGACTGTAACAGATATGGTTTAGTTACTTAAATGCATTAATAGTCGCATTACAACTATTTGCTATTTTAATATCTTTTTCTAAATACTTAAAACATTATATATAAAATTGTTTTAAAAATATGTTACAAATTAGTATTAATTTTTCAAAATTTCAACAAATATAGTTTAGTCGAACAAAATTCATGTGTACACACACACAACATATACATAAACTACAACTCTAATTAATACATAAATAAGTGGCAACTCTTTATTAGTTGAAATATTTAATAGTACACTACTAACACAGAAAAACTTTATATGAATAACGTAACCAACAAACAATTCATTAGTTTTGTTTCAATTGAATACAAAACTATCAATTAACGTCTTTCTAAATTGACCATAAAAATGTGGATAATGTACGCTATATTAAAAAATGCCACAAATTGCCCGTTCAATATAAAGCAGTAACAATAACCATAATAATAAAAAAAAAACAACAACAACAGCAGCATAAACAAAAAAGATACAATAAAAAATGAATTTACAATGCAGATACTTTTATATTGCGTGCGCGCTTATTAAATCGCATTCAGTTAAATAAAATAACTTTAGGATTCTTTTTTGCTTAGTTGATACTAAATTCGAAATAGCCAAATTCGCACTGATCACAACAAAAAATTATATTAAGCAAATATATAGCAATTTGCAGTAAATATCTTTTGAATGCGATACCTGCGCAGCTGCCGTAAATGCATTAAAATGCAATTTCTGTTCTCCGTTTAATGAAATCCATGCGCAGCCAGTAAACGTAGAGATGCGCTTAATATTCATAAAATTTTGTGCAGTTTGCAGGTGAATGGTTTTGAAGTGATAATGTTTATCTTACAATAACTTTATATGGAATTCAACATGAATTTGCGTTACAAAAAAAAAAAAAATTAAATAAAATTAGTAATTAAAAATTTATCACGTATAAGGATGAAATTAAAAGGTAAAAGCGGATATATGTAGTATAAACCAATATGTAGTATAAAGTAGAATAGGATACAATATAGATTTAGGCACCCAGTGATTAGGGGGGTATCATAGGTTGAAATACCTTGTCAGATATCCTGCTAATAACCTCATATCTATACTTTCAAAGAGAATCATCGTTTTGTAGACGTAAGACCAAAAAAATTTTTCACTTTGACGATTTTCTGCAGAGTTGCGCCAGTAACAATGTTTTTTAGTTGATAAATATTTTTACAAAAAAACTGTATTGATTTGTTAAAACTGTGTTATAATAAATTCTGTCACATATTTAAAATGTCTTGGCTCTCATACTAGTCAATAAAAAATTTATTGTAGTGAACCTCAGAAAATATTTAATTCATTCATGTTTTAAAATATTTTTTGAACAAGTATATCTGAGAACCTTTAATCTCTTTGATATCTAGACAGATGTGTATACATCACTTACGACGTCTAAATTTCTATGATATATGTTAAGTAAAATATCTCCCTTTCCTATCACCAGAACTCCTCAGATTTTTGTTTTTTGATTAGCTTATTTATTAATTTATTTTTGATGTGTTTGTTTTTTTTTGTTTTGTAAATTATCAATTCTCGTTAATGTTTTATTTTAAAATAATGAATTTCACTACTGTTACCATATATGACATATGGTTAACTATGGCCGCCTGAGTATACTTCGCGGTTCACCACAAAAATATATGGTTTTATTATTTGCATATAGATGAGTATTCTCTTTCATGTTTATTATTATGTGAAAAAGTGTGAAGAGCGCTAGGGATCTTTATACAAAAAGCTTTTCCACTCCTAATATATGTTTACCATGTGAAGCATATATCTAGTTTTAGATTCACATATTTGAGTAGATGAATCCCTTTTTAGAGTGTAGTAACCATTGCGTAGTATTATTAATAATTTTTAAATATTAGAGATATATTATATTGGGAACTTAAGTTTTTTACCTTATTTTAATTTCTCATCAGAACCGACGGTATGTTTTTGAGAGAGACTGCAGCAATATGGGTACTTGGGTTTTTATTAATCTAAAATATAAAGATATGTGATTTTTGAATAAGTTAACGTCAGTTTGTTTTTTAGTGATGGCTTAAAAATGTTTGTTTAAGGTAGTGTAGGATTTATTACATTTCGCACTTAAGTGAATTCAAGAAACAGATCCATACTAATATGATTTTCGTAGAAAACGTGAAAACTAAACATTTAAATATTTTGGTTTTAGATATATTGCAGTTAAATGATAAGCTGATAAGTGGTTCAAATTATTTAAAAAAATTTTTATTCATTCGTAACAAACATTATTCTAAATCAAGTCAAAAGATTTCGATTTCAATGCAACTTATAAAAGTTTTATTAATTAATTTTTAATGTGATATGCGTGAAGGTGAAAATAAAGCTCGTTTTCATTATATACTTATCATGTTTGTACATTTTTTTTTACCTCAACTATTAACTTTCAACCCTACTACCCTAATGATTTTTAATATACTCCCCGTAAATTAATTTTCTACGATTTTGCGATACGGAATTCGTTAGTGCAAGACTGAATATATTGTATTATTAACACAGCCACTTTAAAATAGGTTATTAAGTTATTTAAGCGAAAAAATTTGCATATTTTAAAAATCTATTTAATTTTTTTCCTTTCGTACCCGTCCATTAGCTTGACCTCTTTGACTTCAGTTATTTATTTAAAATAATATTTGCATAAAGCCAATAAATGCTGTTAAGCAAATAAAATAAAACGGAAATGATATATGACGTCCACAGAATATTCAACAAATTATTTGAAAAAAAATTAATTATAGCGAAATTTCATAAAATGAAAATTAATTAAAAAAAATAAATAAGTTAACAAAAATTAAGAATTGAACCAAAAAAAATACACATATTCGAAAAAAACAAAACATAAGCATAAATGAACTAACTTTCAACGTGACTCTTCAAGTATATAATAAATGATAACTATAATCTTAATTTTTTTTAATTTAATTAATTGCTTAAATTGTATAAATCAATATATATGATAATCAATATATATCAATTATATGAAAATATACGAGAATAATAAGCTCTTAACCTTATAAAAATTATGGTGATCTAAGAATGTCAATTAAATCGAAAATGTGAATTCAGAAATATGCCAAGAAATTATAAAATTCTGATTTAACAATAATAAAATAATATATTCATGTTGTTTTCTCTATAGTAAATCGGTTATTTTTTTTGCCTTTAATAATTCGCAATAACTTGTTTCAGATAGAATTTATATATATAGATTCTAACTCGGTAATATACGTACCTTTTAGTCATATAAATCGTTTACTGATGTGTATATTAACACCTATCATGAATATAGACTTCATGGCGTAATTTGAAATCTACTGTTTCACATGTTGCCCAAATAAAAATTTAAAATTTAACCAGATCTCAACTTTAATATAGACAATAGAAGTCTTCATAGAGTCCCACAAAAAGTTTGTGTTGAACCCATTAGCTAAAGCTTCAAAAGTTAGCCACAATGTAGCGTTCTTAACTACTACTCGTCTATGGAACTAAAGTGAGTGTGTCACAATAATCCTCAAAGGATGCAGTGACAAGTTCTCAAGACGTTCAAAATCTATCTGTCTAGACCCAAAGTAAGGCCTAAACCGTAAGTAATAAAATATTACAGCAATTGGTCTCTAAATTGACAAAATGTCAAGACCTAAATTACGTCACTAACCTTTTTTCAAAAGACCATTATTTCGATAATCAACGACAATATATGATGTTAATAAACGTAATAGATAGCTATCTAAAACAAATCATAGCTAATAACGATTTTGAAGGAATGGAGTCAAGGATGTTAAAATCGGTAGCATGTGTATCATCAAAAATATCTACAATCCGCTATATTGGTTTTTAATATAGTAAGAAATTCAAATGTGTACATATATTATACAAAATATGCATATATATGAATATTCTGTATATGAATCTAAAGGATGATTCATGTTCTTACAATTATATATTTATTAATATTCTCTATATTAATTCTCTATATTATCTAAATGAATCAAGAAGATGATTCATGATGTTCTTAAAACCCATTAAATGTTTATTAAGCTTTAATAATATATAGCAATATTGTAATATTGCAATATTGTAATATTTATTCATAGTTGATATATTATAATTATATTATATAAATGTTTGTATGTATGTATATTATATAAATATAATTATAAGTCTATTAAGATTCAGATATTATATTAATATATGTATTTTGAAAATATTTAGCGTAAGATTAAGAAAAGTTATTATTCTAGAAATAATAATGTGTAGATATCATAAATCGATCCTTATATACACGTATTTATAAAATTAAATTATAAAAAAAATAAGGATCCTATAAATTATATAGGATCCTTATATAGTAAAAAACTACACGTATTTATAAAATTAAATTATGTAGGTATATACCATATATCTCATATTATCCATATATTGTATATAGATATATAATATATAATAATATATGTTAACCATAATAGTTTAACTATTTTATTTCTTTAATAATTTAACTATTTTATATTTATGATAATAAATATTTGTGAGAATTCTTGTTAAGTAGTATAATATTTTATTTTATTAATAGATGCCTGTGGTCTTTCCGATGTTACACATATTGAATCCCTGCAAGAGAAATCCCAATGCGCTTTAGAGGAGTATTGCCGTACGCAGTATCCTAATCAACCAACAAGATTTGGAAAATTGTTATTAAGGCTGCCATCTTTAAGAACAGTTTCCTCCCAAGTAAGTATATAAAGATTTATCTATCATTTTTTATAGACAACAAAAACAATTTTAATAATCACGAAGCTTATGAGGAAAACACAAATTAGTCAATGAGATGGGTGGGACAGTGCAAAAACCACCCAGCCTTCAAAGAGTAAAAGTGCCATGTTTACTGTATTTAATCAGTCGAAAACATTAAACTCTAATGTACTATAATAATTTAGATTTCTTCAAAGCTTCAGTTTTTTTCTCGATTTGTTTGTACTTACTAGTATAGTAGCCTAAATCAAGCTTAAATACTAAGAACAAAGTTATAATTACAACACATAGTTTTTAATTATATGTTAATTAATAATTAAAAAATTTAATTAAAATTTTGAACTGATTGTTAATAAGTCAAACAGAAACCTTTCCTATATTTTTCGAAATAACTTTCTTGAAAATTGATTTTAATCGTACAAATGTTTTCATCTCATTCTAATTGAAGGTCATTGAGCAATTGTTTTTTGTGCGTCTAGTCGGTAAAACACCAATTGAAACGTTAATCCGCGATATGGTGCTTTCTGGTAATAATTTCTCTTGGCCATATTTGCCATCGATGTGACACACAATGTGGCGACAATTGACAACAACTTGATCATCCGCTGCCGCAGCGGCAGCAGCAGCAGCTGCAGTGGCCAATAACAATAACAACGTTGCATTCATAAATCATAACAATAGCAATGCCGGCAGCAACAATATAAACAGCAGCTTCAGTCACGGTAGCAATTTATTAAATCACACCAGCAGCAGCAACAACAATAGCAGTGAAAATTATGGCAATGAATTATTGCAGAGTTATAGTCAAATCGGTGCTAATGCCATACCTGGCGGAGGTGTGGGTAATGCCGCTGGTGTAGGTAGCAGTGCTGGTTTATTCTATAATGCAAATAGTCTAAGTGCAAGTAGCAATAATGTCGCAAATGCTTCTTCAACAGCAGTTGATTACAATTTAACAACGAATGTTGCAAATGGTTTCATGTCTGCTGCACCAGCAACAAATGTCAATTCAACAACGATGCTATCAAATTATTGTGATGCTGCCATGATGATGGCTGCAGCAGCTGTCAATGCAAATCAATGTTTGCAACAACATCATCGTTTAATACTTGAAATGTCACCAAATGCAATTGCGACAAGCACTAATAATGCAACTGGGCATACTAATGCAACAGCAACAGCAACAACTGCAGCAACATTATCATCTGCAACATCAGCGTCAACATCAACAGTGTCATCGGCGCTGTCGTCTGCATCATCAACAACATCAACAATGTCCTCGTCTGTTGCTGGCATTGCTACTGTTGGACAACAACAAACTGAACTGCCGAAGTTACATCAAATGCCGTCGCCGCCAAATTTAATTGATATCAGCGAAGTTCCTCTCATTGTGGATGTCAAGTAGTGTAATTTTATTAGATTCAAAAAATATATATAAACACAAAAAACAAAAAAATTATAAAAAAAATCTCAAAAGTCTAAGAAATGAAATTTTTTATAAACTATAGCATAAATTTTATACTTTATTATGTAAATGAAAATTCTTTTTCTGTTTTAGTTAGGGTGTTAATTTTTCGTTTTAACTGTAATAATAATGTATATAAACTCATATGAAACAAATTATTTATTGCAAGTAAAGATAATGAAATGTAGTTACTCCACAACTGAAGTCAAAAATTTTTTCACTGATTTTTTATTAAATGAAAGTATCTAATTTATATATCAGAATTATTTAACTGTGAACTTCTTGAAGTTAAAAGCTGCTGCGTAATATAAATATACACCATTGGAAGGATCTTTGCCTAAGAATATTCTCACATATTGAAGCTAAAGACTGCTCTGTAACATAGCGCCGAAGCAACATAGTATCTATGGCATTTTTAAGATTTGACAAATTTAAAAAGTATCTAAACGAAGCAATATCACTCGTAGTTAAGAAACACTAATTCGAGTGCCAAATTAACATCAGATACAATTGTTAATTTTTAGGAGAATTTACTACGTATCTAAGCAAACTTGTTAATTTCTTTAAGTTTATGAGTATTCTCTGATTTTCTTCATATGCTTAGTATGAAGTATAATTTATATATTCTCTACATTCATACCACTTTAAAGTGTTAATATAATTATTTTAAAATTTTTGACTTCAGTTAACATATCCTTTAAACTAATGTTTTATTTAAAAAAAAAATACGTTTAACGTAGTTTTTTGTAATAAAAACTATTTTTTTGTAAAATAATTTTACTAAGCTAAGTACTCTGCAATTAAATTAATAAAAATTAAAATTTATATGTGTAAGTGTAAATTATGAAAGGCACTGAACTCTACTTAACTTTTATATTGACGAATGTTTAAATACTTTAAGTTTTAGTTAAAAATTTTAATTTTAAGTTTAAAAGTTTAAATCCTTTTACAATGGTTTACAGAATTATACCAAAAAAAAGAAGACGAAAAAAATTTTAATCACAAATCAAATTCTTAAGTTCTAAGTTAAAATTTTTCTTTGTGGCAATATTTTTAAATGCTTTAGACTTATTTTTTAATTTTTACTTTAAGTAAAATTAAACACACAAACAAAATGAAAAATATATATCTCAAAGATACAATTTCTTTAAATTAAAAGTTTGTTAAAGAAAAACACAAAATGCTTTTTAGCAAAATTTTTATTAATCAAAAACCCAGTGCAAGTTTAAAATTTTCTAAGTGTAATTTTATGTGAATAAAACTTTATTTATACAAACAAATATATATTTATTATTATTATTTTTTTTTAAATAAAAACTGTTTCTTTTTATAAAAATATTTAGTTTTTTTTCAATTTTTTTTCAAATTTTGTCAATTTATTTTATTTTCTAAACATTTCATACATTTTGCTCTCAATTGGATTAAAAAGAGTTGTTTTAAGCGGAGGTGTTCCAGCTTCGGCAGTGGAAATTTT